CGAAGTCATCTCAGCTCTCCAACCGCATGTAAAAGCGGGCTACACACACACACTGAGAAAGGACCTTTGCAATTGTCAGCAGAAAAAACTGCCATGGTGAGGGCCGTCGTCCCAGGTCTCAACAAGGAGATGCAAGTTTGAGCAGCTTCATTTTTTAGCCCGTAGCCTTGCTGCCTTACTTAATTAAGTAGGCGCCTGCTTAGTTGAGTCAGGAAGAAATTCGCTCCTAGCTACTGGACGCTCCTACATATGGATGTAGGATAGCTCACGCTTCCTCAAGGAAGCTCCCCCGCCCTCAGAAAGCATTCGCACTAATACTAATGATTTTGTTCCTAGATCTTTAGGGAAACTTGGGTGTACACAAGTTGAGCACAAACAAATGAAGTCGATTTCACTTTGTTCAGGATCCCGGCTCCAGACGTTTGAGGTGGTTGCTAGGAGCCTTCCTCCTGAGTGCAGCTGTGCACTTCGAAAAGGCTTGTATTGAGTGCTCTTTGGCGTTGTCAAACAAAACATGCCCTTTGGATTCTGAGTATGATTTTTTTGTTTTTTTGCAACAAGACATGCGTGCTGGAGGCATGGAGCTTTGCCCTGGCAGGACTCATTGAGCAAGCTACACGAGTATCAAGACAGCAGGCAGAGCTAGTATTATATTGTAGTGTATAGTGATTCCAGGAGAGCGTTTCCAACATATTATATGATGTGTATAATCTATTTGTATGCATACAACTTTGCAATTGGGTGCCACCCTCACTGCAGAAACAAGATGAACCAACTGTTGTTTGACATTGATTTGGGCTTTTGACATAGCAGTTGTCATCAGTACCACTAGTCTCATTGATTTGTATCAGAGAGTTGTGCATCAACTAACTTGTTTCAAGATCCATCAAACCATTCTTATAGCCAACTGATTTTGAGAAGCTTCTTGACTGTTCCAAAATAAAGCTCCTGATGCTCCAGATGCCTTCAATTTTATTTGCATTTCCAGCACGAAGCGGTGTGGGCGGATTTGTCTTCTCCATCAGTTGAGAAATGGGGCAAATGAAAAGCTTTGGCAGGTGCGAGCAACCAACAATCGAGAAGTTCTTCTGGCAGAGCGAGAGTTGGGCCTTCAGCAGGATTCAAAGAAAGACGGACAGCTGTTTTGGGAATCTTTGGGCAGGAATGGGCAGGAAGTGGCAGATGACGTGTCACTTATCTGAGGCGCCTGGAAGGGGAAAACGGCAAGAAGGCACCAATTTGCAGAACAAGAAGTTGGTCTCAAATCCAATGCATGTGAGACATGTGTGGATTTCAAGAAAATGCAACAGCAATTTGCAGCATTCTGCAACAGGAGGGTGCAATTCAACCTTTGTCGTGGCTGCAAAAGCCCAAACCTCCGACGTGGTTTCCTGAGAATGGACATCAATGCCCCTTCTTGACGTCGTACTCGCCCTTGACGTCCTTCTTTTAGAACACTTTCTTGGCATTTCTGGATTCTATAAATAAATCATGCATCATGACGCCAAAATATGTAATGTATCATATATTATATTCATACAGAACTCCCGGTGCTACCCCTTATCCTGGGCCTAGGCCTACCTAGGCATCGGCCTATCCTAGGCCTAGGCCTACCCTAGGCCCAGGCCTACCCTAGGCATGGGCATATCCTAGGCCTAGGCCTACCCTAGGCATAGGCCTATCCTACGCCTAGGCCTACCCGAGGCACTAAAGACAAGGGTGCGTGGGGCGTCAGACTCTGCCGAGGCTTCCTGCCGATCTCTTCAAGCCAAAAGAAAGTCTTTCGCAAACTTTCCTTGCAGATCCGATCTGCGCTCAGTACGGGCAATTTCATTTTCCGGGTCGTTTCTTGGATGTGGCTTTGACTGCATACCTCAGGAACTACATCTTCAAGATGGGTGTCCCTGGCTAGATTCCTGCACACACACACACATATATATATATATGCATATCGTCGTTTTTTCCCATCTGGATGATGTCAGACAGACAAATCTCTTCAGTGTTGCTTATTTCCCATGTGCATGGGATTTATGCATGTGATATGCCAGTCAGCGCTCTGGATGACGAATCAGAGGGTGGCAAAAGAACTATCGAACTTGGGCCGTGTTCTTACGAAAACATGGGCCTGTCATGGTGTTTTGGCCAATCACCACAAGACGGGCAAGGGGGCTCAACTTTTGAATTGTTTTCTGGCACGCCAAGTCCGGGCACTGGAGCCATCACCTCTCGCCTGTGGCAAAGATATCCGGAGGCCAGGCGACCGTTCCCAAGACCGTGGCATGAGCGCCTTAGCCCTGCCAGATGATTGGAATTGAAATAGATCAACGGGCAATGCGCGTACTCTCTCGCACTGTGCCTGGTGCCACAGTCAAAGCCTGAGAACCAACCTTGGACCTTAGCTTTGGTTGAAAGTTTTAAGTTTCCCTGCGTGAGCTCTCCTGCGTCCTGTTGGTAGTAGCGTTCTTGTAGCTAGCAACTACCTCTCTCCCTACTAGCTACTACCTCCCTCAGCTACGGCCTACCCCCCTCAAAAAAAACATAAGGAGTTCAGTTTCAAAAGAGCGAGGTCATCAGATCAGATGTTCTGATGGTGAACTACACGAAACTTGCAGAACTTCGAGGTGGACCCTTGTCAATAGCAGGGGGCACAGTTCGAGAACTGAGTCCAGAGGTTGGGGGGTGAGAGAGAAGTCAAGGTTCTAGTTTTTATGAGGACAGTTTACGGAGATAACCAGCTTGGATGTTGGATGGACATATGACTCTCTTGCGTGCTTTTCGTCTTGAAGGAGCTTTAAGTTTCTTTTTGTCTGACACCTCAGGTCAGCAACCTTCCCTTTCATGTGGCATCACAGGCGCTGTTCACTTTGGCTGACCATGCGGATGGAGTCAGCGGCTATATTTGCCAAGCAGAGTTGGAGACAATGTGAGCTGAGTGACGTCAGAGAGATGGTGGTGTGAAACAATTCAGAGACCCATTGGAGACATGTTCGCAGAAGTCTTTCTCCATCCAGATACCAAGGTTCGCAGTGCTCACGTTATTCTGCAGCAGGAGGCGGCTGCACACAGATGTGGAAGCCGCATTGCAAATGAGAAATTATCGAAAAGGATTGACAAATGGTTGCGTGCAGAATTTGCAAATGGTCTTGTTTGAAGGTTGCACAGCGGCTCGTTGCAAAGCCAAATAGCCCTGGTCTTGAGAGTGATAGTGAATGTTCTGCAGCGAAAGTGCCCTTCTCCAGGCAAGAAGTATGGCATCCCCAGCGTGGTGTTCCAGCTGTGCGCATCTGTAAGATGCAAAAAGCTTTTGAAGGGAGTGCTTGAAAGGAGTCTGCGACATTTGAAACAAGCAGAAACATGTTCTTCAATCTGTGAAACCTAACCCGCATAGGACATAGGATTGTTGATGGCAAGAAGTATAATTAGTACAGACTTGGCACGTAGTAAACCTCACGCACTCTTGGTACAACAAACATGCAGGTGCACGCATGCTTCAGCTGTTCTGTGTGCAGAGACACCCCTGCAGCCTGGAAACTGAAGTCGCGTTTTTGCATTTTTGAGTTGTTCCAAGGCACTGATGTTGTCAAAAGTGGGGCCCGCAAATGGAAGGCTGATTTGCAAGCCGTTTCTTCACAATTATTGCTTTGCTGCAGCGAGGAGCCCACATTTCACAACAGCACACCCCGCAAAAGTGCGATTTGTGAACAATCCGACGTTTTTTTTGCACTTTTAGTCGTCGTGGATTGACTCCCCCAATAAGAGCTGCCGTCTTGGTTGCTAGGTCAACATTTCTATTGATGTACCTCCTTGGAAGCTTCTTGCGTAAGTCATGACATTTGCATGGTGGGACGACGGTGTGTTCGGAGACGGATGGCAATGTTGCGAGACTGATGGAGAAGAAGATGATGATTTAGAAGATGATGAACACCTCGCCACCCAAATTTAATCATACTTATGTTCGATGACAATGTTGTGAGACCCATGAAGACGATGATGATGACCTCCAAAAAACATCAAACACTTCTACGGCTTTCGGGTTGCATAAACAAGGGTGCCGGCTCCACGACCGCGGCGAAATCAGATTTTGCTGAACCACAGACAGTCTCGTGTGTAAATGTCACAGCTGTAGTTGCTAGTGCTTTTGGAGCGCCCACTGGCCGGAAGAATGTTTTTTGTTGCACAAACGTGTGTGTGTGCCCCTTGTAGTCACAGGGATTCTTTTGAATTGTTTTGTACTGACTTTTCCACCACGATTCAGCAGGGGGCATGGCAGCTGTTTCCCTAGCCATGCCAGCGAAGCTATGGGATTCAGCCGGAAGGGAGTGTGGACGCACATTCCTGTACCTGCACAAGTTTTAATTGTTGGTAAAGCGCTAATGCAGCTGCAGTCACGCACGGAACGCCGTCACCCTGTCGGACCGACCTCGTCTTGAGTTTTTGGCCTCACTTCCTCTTGAAGACCCCCAGGCTCTTTAGGACTTTCCTGGACCTTTCAGGATATGGGTTCTTAGGCTGGCGTGTGGCACCGCATTCACATCAGTATGCATTTCTATAAGTGTGTCTGGCCTCGTGCCAGCCGGGGATGAGCCCGCAGAGTGCCTCCTGTGGACCCGTTGAACGGGGGTTGGTCGAACGTATCCCCTGGCCGGATACAAAGCTGCTCACAGCGAGCGTAGGTGTGGCCTAGGCCGAGAGAACTTTGATTTTCGTATCCTTTTGGAATTCCAAGCTGGCTTATGCCTTTACGTGACCGCAGCGGTCCAAGCTGGCTTAACACCTCAACGTGGTCAGAGCGACCAAAGCATCTTTTGAGGTTCGTTGGAACCTGTCCCACTCTCAGGTGCACACACAGCGCATACATCAAACGAGGCGAGGCCCCTAGGCGCTTCTAATGAGGTTGGTTTCATTGGTTCTCGTCCCCTCCATTTGCTTCCCCCTTTCATCCTTTCCCCTTCACGCACTTCTGTTTCCTCTTTTCTTTCATGTCCTCCTGTCTTCATGTTTCGTCGTCTCATCCTTTCCTTTGTTTGCGCGCACATCGGTCCTGGCCTTAGCGTGTACGTGCACATCTACAACCCAGGTTTTAGGTCGCCAGGTCTCGACAATGAGGTGAGGCTCATCGGTTGTCCCTGTGCACTTGGTTTCTCTTTCATCGCAACCACGCACACTTTTGTCCCGTCTCGTCCTTCTCATGTCTTCATCCTTTTTGTCTTTTCTGCGCGCACAATTGCACGTTCGTCCTAGCCTTAATTTTTTGGCCTCCCCTCGGGGAGGCGTGTGTGTGTGTGCCCCTTGTAGTCACAGGGGTTCTTTTGAATTGTTTTGTACTGACTTTTCCACCACGATTTAGTAGGGGGCATGGCAGCTGTTTCCCTAGCCATGCCAACGAAGCTATGGGATTCAGCTGGAAAGGAGTGTGGACGCACATTCCTGTACCTGCACAACTTTTAATTGTTGGTAAAGCGCTAATGCAGCTGCAGTCACACACGGAACGCCGTCACCCTGTCGGACCGACCTCGTCTTGAGTTTTTGGCCTCACTTCCTCTTGAAGACCCCCAGGCTCTTTAGGACTTTCCTGGACCTTTCAGGATTTGGGTTCTTAGGCTGGCGTGTGGCACCGCATTGACATCAGTACGCATTTCTATAAGTGTGTGTATGTTCTTTTGTTTTCCTCTTTTTTGGTGTGTGTGTGTGAAACCCTTGGAGTCACAGGGAACCTTTGGGTTTTTAGGTTTGAGTCCACTTGCAGGGGGGCAACCCCACATTGCAGTTGATTGCCCAACGAAGAGGGCTGCAATTGTGGCTGATATCTGGAAAGGACGCTTTCCAGACGTACCTGCTTTGTTTTGAACTGTTGACCAGGCTGTGACTCTACTCTCCAGCAAAGGGCTAATGAGTTCTGCAGATGCGAGCGCTTGTCGTCATCCTGTCGCTGTCTTCCGCTTTTTTGAGAACTTTGAGATTATTGGGGTTCATGGACGTTTCATGGTCAGAACGCTTTACATACCTTACCACTGTTTTCCTTACTCTTTCGTTCATTTCTAGGCGGGAGTGTGGCATGTGGCTATCAGTTTAGTACGCGTACCCATGTACCTTACCCATGTGGCATGTGGCTATCAGTGGCATGTGTGTGTGACCCTTGAAATCACAGGTATCCTTTTGGAATGTACTGCCTGGCTTTTTACCTTGTTTGTTTGGAGGGGGACACGGCGCCAGATTGCAGACCGTGTCTAACAAAGCTATGCAATCTGGTGGGGTATCCAGCTTGGCCAGCTGGACGTACCTGCAACAATTCTAAGATTTCGTACAGGGCTAACGAGCTTGATCCTGTCGTTTCGACCTCGACATGCGCTTTGGGCCTCTCTTCCTTTTGAAGACCCCAGGCCTCGATGGTTCTTACCTGTACCTCTTAGGAAATGGTAACCTAGGCCGGCGTGTGACAAACCGCTTTCAGTTCAGTACGCATAATCATAAGTGTGTCTGGCTTCATGCCAGCCCAGGGTGACCCCGAAGAGTGGCCCCTGTAGACCCGTCGAACGGGTGTTTGTCCTTATTTCCCCTGCTCGCAGATGTACGCGCCCAGAGCGGGCGTAGGTGGACTAGGCCAAGAGAACTCAGATTTTGTCGATTTTTGAATTCTAAGCTGGCTTATGCTTGACGTGACCGTAGCGGTCAAAGCTGCCAGCCATTTTGGCACGGCGGCCGCAGCGGCCGAAGCTTGTTCAAGGCTCGTTGGAGTCTGTCGGGACCTTAGCCCCCCTACCCTCCCCTTCTTCTCTCTTCGCCTTTTTGGGGTTTACCTGAATGTAACACTCAGGTATACCCCTCTCCTTGGTGTGTCCCTGGACGCTTGCGCGTAGCGTCCTTTTTTCATTTTTTCCTTTTCTCCTTTTCTCCTTTCCCTCTCTCTCTCTCTCTTTCTTTCTTTCTCTCTCTCTCTCTCTCTCTCCCTCTCTTTTTCTCTTTCTCTTTTTTTTCCCTTTCTCCCTCTTCCTTCTTTTTTTGTGTCCCTGGATGCTTTCGTCATAGCTGGGAACCCTTCTCTTCTCTTGGTGTGTCCTTGGACGCTTGTGTCGTAGCTGGGAACACCTTCTTTTGGCCTTGCTACTAGGTGCAAAGACGCTACTAGGATGAGGTTCACCGTTTCTACAAGAGAAGCCTCCCCTCGGCGAGGCGTGTGTGTGTGTGACCCTTGAAATCACAGGTATCCTTTTGGAATGTACTGCCTGGCTTTTTACCTTGTTTGTTCGGAGGGGGACACGGCGCCAGATTGCAGACCGTGTCTAACAAAGCTATGCAATCTGGTGGGATATCCAGCTTGGCCAGCTGGACGTACCTGCAACAATTCTAAGATTTCGTGCAGGGCTAACGGGCTTCCTGGCGTTTCGACCTCGGCTTGCGCTTTGAGCCTCTCTTCCTTTTCAAGACCCCAGGCCTCGATGGTTCTTACCTGTACTCTTAGGAAATGGTAACCTAGGCCGGCGTGTGGCAAACCACTTTCAGTTCAGTACGCATAACCATAAGTGTGTGAAACCCTTGGAACCGCAGGGAATCCGTTGGTTCGTTACTTTTGACTTTTTGACTTGTTCGCTTTAGATTAGCAGGGGGCTGGAGTGTGCTTCAGATGTCCCGAGCCAACGAAGACGCATCTGTTGCACTGTGATATAGTTCCGGGACGCCAGAACTACATACCTGCTTATATTTGAACTGTTGCTCACGCTGTGACTACACTTTTCCAATAAAGGGCTAATGCACTCTGCAGATGTGAACGTCCGTCGTCATCTCGCCCTGTCGTCGCTTGGGTACCTCGTGGTTTGACCTTGGCCCCCTAATGACTAGTGATGATCACTCCTTTCATATGACATTCTCAGGGTTATGGTTGCCTAGGTTGCCGTGTGGCGAGTGGCTTTCAATTCAGTAGGCATTTCCTAAGCGTGTGATATTTTGTTTTTCTTAGAGAGTGTGGACATCATATGGTCAAACAGGCACGTGTGTAGCAGTCCATCACCTTTTTTCCCTCCCAGGACGTGTGTAGCGCTGCGAGTTCCACTTGTCTCATGGCTTTCCAGGAGCTATCTAAAGCTTGCGTGGTCTCAGCACGTTGCAACGCTTGTTTGAAACCGCCCCACATTTTGTCATTGTATGCCGAAAGCATTGCGGTGGTGTAGCGCGTGCGCCTTTTTTTCTCTTAGCCCCACAACACCCTGAGTTAACCGCGCCGCCGCTGCGGGGCATTTCATCCTCACCACCCTACCCCCCACCCTCACCCCACCCCACATCTCGTAGGGCTCGATGGTGAAAAACATTGCGCTCTGGCGTAGCGCAACCCATCACGCATCCACTCAAAGCAAAGCGCCAAAAATGATGACAGTCTCACGGCGGTCGTGGAACCGACTGCCATAAACAAGGATGTGTGATTTTTGCTTTGCACTTGTTAAACGTTTACAAGGTACGCCGACCCAAAGATCCTTTTCCACTTGCCTCCGACAGCATACTTTCCTCGACCCAACGTCAAGGCCTTAGAGCTTGAGGGCAGAAAAGAAGGTGCTAGTTCATTCCTTTCCTTTTGGCTAACGATGCTCACGCACACATATATATATATAATAGATGCTTGTAATGTTTGCATGTACAGCCCATAAATACTCCGCTAGGGTACTGCAGACACGCGACCCACGACGTGTTTTGGCTCAAGGTAAAAAGGCGTTCCGAAACGTCGACTTTGTGTTTTCATGGTAGCGCACGAGTCCGGTGAGAGTGACAGGGACAAAGCGCTGCGCATAAAGGAAGAAGGATATAAGAAAGTTGAAAGCTCCGAGGAGGAGGAGCAGGCACCATCGGGAGCGGCAGCTTCTGCCGCCCCGGTTGGGATAGAAGAAGAAGGAGAAGTAAAAGAGGAGGAGGAGAACAAGCCTTTGCCCGAACAACCTTTAAACAGAGTCCACTGAATCAGCAGATCAGGCCGCAGATTCCACTACAGCGGTCGATCAGACCGCAGAGACCAAAGAGGAAGAGGATCAGATAGTGGAAGGACCACAAGAAGAAGAAGAAGAAGAAGAAGAAGAAGAAGAAGAAGAAGAAGAAGAAGAGCCTGAACAAGATCCAACAGTCGAGCCGGGAGCCGAAGCGGCTGCTTCAGCCGCTCGGCCACAGGGCGGCCGAGTTATCGCCGATTTCATCACAAGTCCAACAGGTGTCAAAACCGGCTGGGAAATTCGTGGCGCACACGCCAAATACACCCCAGCTAAGATCGATCCCAAGGCACCGTGGAGGAAGCAGGTGAAGAAACAGATTTGGGGCCAAGTCAAGAAGCACCCAGGACCAAAATCCGGATTCTGACCTCGAAGCAGAGTTTCATTGCAGTATCGGAAGACAGAAGACCTGAGGAGGCGCGTCAAGGACTTCGGCAAGGAACGCCCACCGCAGGAGATCAAGTTAGAGCGGGAAGAACAGAAAGTCCGCCGCAAAGAGAAGCGCATCAGGTACGGGCAGGTCAAGAAGAGTGAAGCGGCTGATCCAGCCGACGAAGAAGAGAAGACAGAGAGCCTGTCGGAAGAAGAGCCTTCCGGAGTGAGATTGAAGAGCAGGAGTCGCAGCCCTGTGCGACAGCCTCAAACCCCAGAAGGGCCGCCACCGACCCGTCGACCTCAAAGCCGCGATACAAGTCGGGGTAGAGCAGTTTGGGGCCGAGCTTTAGAGCTCAATTTCAGGATTGCCACCCTGGCCAATCAACGAGCTCAGAATCAGCGCATCGAGAACTGGAAGTTGGAAAGTCCGTTCCAGGTAAGGAAGATCGCAGCTGACGAGCTGGTGGAACAAAGGGGCTTGAAGGGATCTGTGGCGCTTGCTGCAATCAGGGAGCTTTGGAAGACGCCAAACGAGCAGGGCAAGCGTGGTTCCTTCGAAGCTTGCAGCAGCTGCGACGAGCGCAAGAAAGCGCAGCTTCCTGCCGTCCAAGCCTACATCAAGAAGAGGGGATTGAAAGGTCCAGCAAGGCTTGGGGCAAGTGCCAAAGCAAAAGTTGAGCCCAAGGCAAAAGGAAAGGCTAAGGCAAAGGCCGAAGCGGCGCCTGCAATCGGCCGCAATCCAGATGACCTCTGCGGGAACCCGGACCACTTCAGAGGTCCGCGAGATCCCAAAACCTCCTCCTGAAACTTCCCAAGGGTGAAAGTGCTTGGACCGGCCTGGTAAGGGGCCGGAGATCGGACGAACCGTCCGCAGCTGAAAAGGTGCGAGAGCAGCGCCTCTGGGAGTTTGGGACCGGGCCCAAACCATGGCTTTAGAACAACAGGTACAACAGTTGTCTGATATGGTTTCGCAGCTCCAGCAAAACCAGGCACGTTTGGAACAGGAAAACCAGGTACTACGAGAGTCACAAGGAGGGGTAACCATGTTGGCTTCTGCAGTGGGGGAACTTGCAAAGAGCCTTGAAAGGAAGGAGGATAGACGGAAGTCCCAAATACTCATGGATACAAAAGGGTTGGGACGCCCCGAGAATTTTGGGAATGTTGAAGGGGAATTCCGAAAGTGGGCTAGGAGTAATAGACAACTTGTTTGTAACCACTTTTGGGAGAGAGTTCATAGAAATCCTCGAGTACATCTTGGAGCAGGAAGAGAACACCTTCGATCTGTTCGCAGCAGGTCCAGTTCCAGAGATGCCTCTGATGGACCCAGAGTTCGAAGAGGTCTACATGGCTGATGTGAATGGCGGCATTTTGCCAGCCGAGAAAGTGAAGGAGGCAAGATGCCTTGAGATGGACTGCCTGAAAGAGAAGCATGGCGTCTATGTGCCAAGGCCAAGAGCCGAGTGTTTTGAGGAAACGGGGAAGCCCCCGATCCCAGTCAGGTGGTTGGACACCAACAAGGGAGACCCAACAAACCCAAACTATAGGAGCCGATTAGTTGTGCGTGAGATAAAGGCAAGAAAGACTAAGGAAGAACAGTTGCCAGCCAACTTGCTTTTCAGCAGCACGCCCCCTTTGGAGGCGATGAGACTGTTGTGTTCGCTGTGGGCAACAAAGAGAAAGTCACACCGCAACCAGCCACTGAAGCTGGGCTTGTGGGACATCTCACGAGCACCCTTCTACGGAACTCCAAAGAGAAAGATCTACATAGAGCTGCCGCCTGAGGACGAAGCCAGCAAAGACGGACAGACCTGTGGACTTCTCGTAAAGTCAATGTACGGGACGCAGGATGCTCCGAATATCTGGCTGGTTTCCGCAGAGGTTTGTCAAATGCGTCAGTCTTCTACCAAGAAGCCTGGGACGTCCGAGTCATGGTGCATGGAGATGACTTCCTAGCACTTGGGGACGCCAGCGCTTGGAGAAGCTCAGTCAAGTCCTCAAGGACGCCTACGAGCTGAAATGTCTCGGAATTCTTGGAGACGAGGATGGAGACCGAACAGAAGCACACTTACTGAATCGGTTGATCCGAGTCGATAAGAAGAACGGCAAGGGATCAATTGTGATCGAAGCCAACCGAAGACATGTCGATCTTTTGATCCAGGCATTTGGCTTGGAGAAGGCAAATGGTGTAGAGTCACCAGATGTCAAGAAATCGGCAGACCAACAGATGTTGGAGAGCCGCAGTCCACTGCTAGATAAGAGCGAGGCATCGCGGTATCGCTCAGCCACGATGCGAGCCGCATACTTGTCCCAAGACAGACTTGACATTGGGCATGCAGTAAAGAATCTCGCTCGAGGTGTGGTGTCACCGACCGAGGCAAAGCTTGCTGACCTGAAGCGCTTAATCAGGTATCTGAAGAAGTACCCTGATGTTGGACAGTGCTTTGGATCGCACCAAATGCCCTCAAAGTTGAGGATCCAGGTTGACGCCGACCACGGTGGCGACGCTGTGACACGAAAGAGCACGACTGGCATGGTTGCCATTTTTGGCACCCAGCAATATCCAGTCCACCATCGCCCTGTCGACCGGCGAGAGCGAGTACTATGCACTCGTCAAGGGCGGATCTGTAGGCTTGGGACTTCAAAGCCTTTGTGCAGATCTGGGTGTGGACCTGGGAGTCGCCATAGAAGGAGACTCTAATGCAGCCAAGGGCACAGTCAATCGAGTTGGATTGGGCAAAGCCAGGCTGTGGTTGCAGGAAAGAGTCGCTGAAGACCACTTGAAAGTGCACCATGTTCCAGGAGTCAAGAACAAGGCTGACGTTCTCACAAAGTCAGTCCCTGGGGTGCAGTTTCGAAAGACGATGGAAGGTTTGAAATACATCTTCCTCGGCAAAAGAAGCAAGGGACAGCTAGATGTTTTGGAGTAAGGTCCCTGGCCAAGCTCCACTACCATAGCTGAGAGTGGCATAGCAATGTGGATGTTTCACTTGTTTTCTTTGACTTGCGCAGCAGTACAGTGCTTTGCAAGAGGAGGAGTGTTTGCACGTACAGCCCATAAATACTCCGCTAGGGTACTGCAGACACGCGACCTACGACGTGTTTTGGCTCAAGGTAAAAAGGCGTTCCGAAACGTCGACTTTGTGTTTTCACGCAATATTAGCTGGCTGGAGCTGCACTTGCGATACCAAGATTGGTCGGGGGGGTCACCATTCAGTGAGGTTCAGGTTTTAAGCTATTATATAAATACTTCTGAAAGACCGCATTTTTGGATTCCGATCCGCCTGAACTGGTCCCAGTGGTCTTCGGAGTTTGTGTACCATTTGTGGAGAGAAGATTGAGACGTCCACCATGATTTAGCATCATTTTGACTTATCGGCGGGCATGGTTTTGTCAACATGCTGGCCAAACTTGCTCTCGTTGCCTTGCACATGGCCATCCTTTTTGGGCCACATCACAACCTGTGAGCACAAAGAGATCAAACAAAGATGCAAATGATGCAAGAAAGACGACCGCTCTCATGCGGGGGCGCTACTGCACACAGATCAAAGGAAACTCTAACTCTCTCTCTCTCTCTCTCCCTCCCTCTCCCTCCCTCTCCCTCCCTCGCCCTCCCTCGCCCTCTCTCCCCCTCTCCGTCCGTCCGTCCGTCGCTGGCTCGCTCGCTCGCTCGCTCTCTCTCTCTCTCTCTTTGTCTCTTCCTTGCTTCCTTCAACCTTGGTGCGCTAGGACCAGCTTCAGATACACACCAAACAGGATTGCTTCGTCTCACAACCCCACGGGAGAACCGGTACGCTGGAAGCATTGGTTGGCAAGACCAGCAAGTGGCATCGATCCTCTCAAGCAGCACAGGTGCACAGGCCCCGTCACACCCTTGAGGAGAGAGCCTCCAACAACCTGAGCCAGGCACCCTCCACTTGGCGGCTTGGAAGACAGCCGGCTCTCAAGTTCCAGTTCCTACATGTGGCGAACACCTTTGCCAGCGCAACCAGAAAGAAATCAAGATACTCTGTTACAACCGTCAGAAGTTGGCGGTGGTTTGATCTCAAACCCAAAGCATCCACTTCGTACAACTCCATGAGAAGAAAGACCTCAAGTCATGACTTGGTCGAAGCCAGACAGCAGTCTCGGGCTGACAGCAGAGCATCACAACTTGCCCTGATCACGGGATTGACGAGCAGAAGGCTGATCTATTCATGGCACCGATTGAGAGAAGGCATTTGGCAAGATACAGCATGACCATGTGTTACAACACTCAAGGCTCTCCACGCCAACCAATCACCAACTTTCTTTGCGCCAAGGCGATTACGAGGCTGCATCAACAAAATGACAGAAGACTAGAACTTGACCAGGGTGTCTCTTAGGCTTTTAGGTCCTTGTATTTATTTCTGTTAAGTAGTCTGACATGTGCCCGTGCTGATCTTATTTCCAGATGTTCCGATCTTGAGGAGCGGTCTTTGACATTGTTCACTTTTTCTCAATGAACTGATCCGGCCAAATGTCCCTCTCTAAATATGCACCCTGCGTTCATATTCAATCGGGGAACAGAGCCTTGTTCTTATAACGCATGAGAAAGAGAACACTTGGGCAATAGTCACTAGTCTCAACCATACTGCCGACCTCAGCATCAAAGTCTCACTGAGAATACAGCAGACCAAAAGAAGCTGGCAGCAGCTACGTTTTTTTTGGGAAAAACAATAATGTCGACAACCATGACAACTTCTAGGCCAGCTGTCATCAAAGGTAAGTTTTTCTCAGCGGTGAAGCCATGTAAACTTATGTTGAAGTTAAGCTTCCATTGGGTGTGATCAAAATAATACAAATTAGGAAACATAGCAAATGATAGCATCCACGTTAGGAAAAAAATATGAACAAGATGGAACCACGAACCCGAATGCAAACACGTTCAAAAAGCTTCATATGTCCAAATGACACTCTTGTAGGACACTCTTGTGGGACACT